TGTCTTGTGCTCAGAGTTCCTGTCTCCACCACTGTGAGAAAATGAATGCTGTAGAAGCCATCCAGTGTGTGGTATTTTGTTATGGCAGCCCTGGTCAACTAAAACAGTTAGGATTTGTGTTTGACTGCTGCGGCAAAATAATCCAAAACACAGTGGCTTAAATCAAATAGACGTTAATTTTTTTCTCATGAAGCAGTCTGAACATGGGCATGAGGTCGACGTGGGGCTGGGGCTGGGGCTTCACACTTCTGATGTGCTACTCTGCCATACCCTGGGACAATGATTTTATCTCCCTGATCCCACAGAGCTCCCCATCATGTTTCTGGGTCCACATCTGACCAGCAGGAAATGGAAGAAGGAGAAGGAAAGGAAGTGACCCCTTTTTTAAGAGCAAGAGCTGGAATGTACTCATGTCACTCTACTCAGATATGAATGGACTGAATTTAGTCCCATAACCACATCTAATAACAAGACTCCTTGGGAAACGGAGTCTTTGTTCTGGATGGCCAGGTGCCCCGCTACAATGTGGGGGTTCAAACACTAAAACAACAAGACGATAGTAACTACTGGGTGACAACCAGCAGTCTCTGCCCTCAAAGAGGCAGGGAAGAACAGGAATGGTCAATTCTCTTGAATAAAGGAAAGGAAGGGAAGGTGGCAAGGAGAAATCAATGTGTCAAAAAATTCTGCCTGAAGCCGAGGAACAATAAGACCTGTGCGGACCCCACTCTCAAGTTGCTGCCAAATTCTCCCCATTTCTAAGGAGCACCACTTAAAAACAAGCAATTATAACACAATATGGCAATACACGATGGAGCGAAAACCCTTAGGTTTACAACTTTCACTGGAATTGCTCTTAGGAAGAAACCATGTCTGTCTGGAAAAATTTCTTGCTGAGTCACGTGGTGATGGATAGTAAGGGCTTGGAAGCACGAATCTGCAAGATTCTGAGAAAGGAGAGGAATAGTCCAACAGAATCTGCGAAATAAACATACAGACATTGGACGTGATGGAAGGCAAAAGGCAAGACCAAGTCATAGGTGGGAAGGCAGAAAGAGAACTGATGGAACTATTAGGACAGGATACTTAAGTTATTTGGGTTCTGTAGTGTAACTCTCCCCTACAAAACTTCAGTCAAATCTACTAAACATGTAAAGACCTTTGTGTGGCGTAAATTTCACATCTGGGTCATTTCAGGGCAGAATGGGGCGTCATTATGACATAACGATGTACATGTTTGTTGAATAAATTAGGCAAAAGCAGGACTGAAGTAGAGGTAACTAGAGAAACCATGAGCTAGTACTCCCCTTTAGAACTCCACAGAGACTGGGGCAGAGGCAGGAATGGGATTTTAGTCAATTTCTTTTTTCCCCCTCCTTTTTTCTTTTTTGAGACAGAGTTTCACTCTGTGGTCCAGGCTGGAGTGCAGTGGTGTGATGTTGGCTCACTGCAACCTCCGCTTCCCAAGTTCAAGTGATTCTGATGCCTGAGCCCCCAAGTAGATGAAACTACAAGCATTGTCCACCATGCCCGGCTAATTTTTGTATTTTTAGTAGAGATGGGACTTCACCATGTTGGCCAGAGTGTTCTCGAACTCCTGACCTTGAGTGATCCGCCTGTCTCGGCCTCCCAAAGTGCTGGGATTACAGGAAACAACTCGCCCAGCCTAGTCAACTTCACTGAGTCTCAAAGAGGGAAGCACTTCAGCCAATACCTGGATTATAACTATTGTAGAAACCAGGTATCTGAGCAGATTTCCCTCTGCCCAGGGGAGTCCCAGGAGATGTTATAGAGGAAGTGACATTTAGGGCTACATTGAAGAAGGAGTATGTTAGCCAGTAGAAGAAAGGATCTCTCAGCAAAGGGAGGAGGTTTTGTTATAAGGCATTGGAAGGTTTTAAACAGTGGCAACATGATTGGATCTGGGCTTTAAGAATGTGTTGAAGATTAAAAGTTTTTCCCATGAATGTGAGTGTTCACATCTTCTCTCCTCCTCTGCTTCTCACATCTTCTCTCCTCCTGTGCTCACTAAGGACAACGCTATCTTTTTCTGAAGATTTTCCACAGCAAGCAAGCAATGAATTCTGCACTGGACACCAGTTGGGTGTCCTCCAATTCAATTCCGACCCTACCTGCCAGGAGACAGTGTAAGATCCCACAGGTTGAGTGTTCCGTCCCATAAGACTGCTTCTACTTCAGACATTGGTTGCAATTCTGGGCATCTAGAACTTCTGACCTACCTATTTCAAGCTGGGGCTCTCACAACCCCCTCTGGGTTCAATTAGTTTGCTACAGCAGCTCACAGAGCCTAGGGAAATTTACTTATATTTGCTGGTTTATTTCAAAGGCTAGTTTAAAGGATGCAAATAAACAACCAAATTAAGGTAAGGTCTAGGGATGGCCTTGGAGGGTCCTGAGTGCAGAAGCTTCTATCCCTGTGGAATTGGGGTGTGTCACCCTCCTGGAAAGTGGATAAGGTCTTGTTCGCCTTACTGTAAGCCTCTATGTGTTCAGCTGTCCAGAAGCTTCCCTGACCCTGTCTTCTTGGGTCTTCTGTGGAGACTTCATTGGACAGGCATGATTGACAACTGTGCAGAAATGTGACTGGGCAAACGGTATGATCTACTGCTAATAGGCTGAGTTGGTAAACCCAGCAAGGCCTGCCTGTTCAGTTTCTTCTTGACCTCTCTGTATAGCATTCCTTCCTCTGGATATGGGGCAGGACCCCTCCTGAAATGGGAGTCTTATGACCTACAATCAATAAGGTAGGTCAGGGAATTTCTTTATGGCCAGCTCCTTGACAGAAAGGTGGGATGGAGGGTGAGGTCTGCCTTGGGGAGAACTAGGAGCAGGTCAAAGGAGGGCAGGAAAAGCTCAGAAAGATTGATTCTGTTTTCTGAGGCCTGCTTCTGAGGTCTAAAGTGCCCCAACATTAAAATAAGGGCAATAGGAACTATAAGCCAGGAATCAAGGATAAAAACGAAGCCCTTCTAGGGATGGTGCTGAGGAAGAAACTCCCCAAAAGGGAAGCTACTTCATTTTCATGCATCCATCCATCCATGAATCTATCCATGCATCCATGTATTCATCCATCCATCCATCTATCCTCCATCTATGCATGCATGCATTCATGCATCCATCCATGCATCCATATATCCATCCATCCATGCATCTATGTATCCATATATCCATCCATCTGTCCACCATGCATGCATGCATGCACGCATCCATCCATGCATCCATATATCCATCCATCCATTCATTCATCCATCCATGCATCCATGTATCCATCCACCATCCATGCATGCATCCATCCAGCCATGCATCCATATAGCTATCCATCTATCCATCTATGCATCCATATATCCATCCATCCACTATCCATGCATGCATGCATCCATCCGGCCATCCATGCATGCATGTATCCATCCATCCGTCCATCCATCCATCCATGCATCCATCATCCATGCATCAATGCATCCATCCATCCACCATGCAACCATCTGTGCATGAATGTACCCACCCATCCATCCATGCATCCATCCATCCCTTCATTCAGCCATTCATTCATCCATCCATGCATCCATCCATCCATCCATCCATCCAGCCACTGGTTTATAAACTGTTGAATGCCAGTTTATGTTTTATACTACTAGGCACCAGGGACTCTACCAGCAATGGCCTTTTATTCAGAGCCCCCAGGCGCTTCATAGAATACAAATTCTTCTGCTAACTGGTTAAATCCTGATGATAAAGACATTTTTGCAACTTGGTACATCATCATAATTGTTTTGTTACTGGCCAGGATGCATCTGTCTCAAGCAGGAGCTGCAACTCTCAGAAGCATTCAGAGCACCAGCTAATCCAAACATTCAGTGACTTAGGGACCCTTCCAGCCTGCAATTCCTCTTTAATGTTTTGTGAAGGCAAATTTTCCACATTTTCCAGCCTTGCAGAAAGGTCAGCAGATGCGTGTGGGGCCCATAGAGAATTTACACTACCTGGCAAATAGTAGTTCTTTGGAGGGCGATTTTAGAGGTCACAGCAGAAGCAAGAACCTAGTTGACTTATAACCCCTGTCTCCATTCATTCCATCAAGGAGATCACTGAATAAGGTTTTGTCATGTCACTAAAAACAGCCTTCCTTGGGCAGGGAAAAATTCACCATTCTGCTCACAGATCACCTCTGGCTACCTGTCTTGCTTCTAGGGAGGGAGTGCAGGCTGAGGTTTGAGGGATGAACCCTAGGGGTTATCTTGGATATGACAGTCTCAAGTCTAGCAAGTGGTACTCAGAGCTTCCACATTTTCTTTCCTTTATGTGTGGTTCCCAGGGCCAGGAGACCTTAAGCTCATGTCCTGTTGTGGGAATGGTGTCAAACTATGGAGGGCCACATTCCTTTTTCAGTCTGGGCTGACCACGAGGCCTCACTGGGGCTCCATCTAAGCTCATTAACACCAGCACCCACGTGGGTGCCAGGCAGCTGTGTCTGGCTTCTAGTGCTTCCTGGTAGCTCTTAGTAATCAGAGCTTCCCAAGTGGGGTGTTAGGAATGGGTTCCAGGTATTCAGAGGTATTGACTGATCTTTGTGGAGCCCGGGGTGTAAGAGTTCCCAAGCCTTTCACATATAGCTCTGACCAGCTTTGTCTGTTTACCCCAGAGTGCCCCCAAAGCTGTTGTTTTCTATGCATGTTAATATAGAAAAGTTTGGAGGATACTGTCCTCATTGTCTCTAATCAGATAGCAGCTGAGTATCCCATCCTGTGTGACCGGCCTAGTAAGCACCAGTCTAGACCAGAGATGCTGAAGTTTCACTGTGTATGAGAATCTCTTGGGGAGCTTATTTAAAATGCAAATCCTCAGCCCCCAGCCCCAGAGGGTCTTATTCTCAGAGTTGGAGGTGGGGTCGAGGTATCTTCTGCCACCACTGGCTTGGGGACCCCACTTAGAGAAGATCTGGCTGAGGTGCTTGTCCTCTCTTTCATTCTCTCTTTTTTCAGCTTTTACTGAGGCTCTTCTTGATACACAGGGACCTGTGTTGGGCCTTGGAGCTACAAAGCTAAAAGACACTTGAAAGGCTGAACAAGTGATTACAAGGCAGTGTGGTGAGTGCCAGGGCATTCTAGAACTCCATTACTGCAAAGAGACTGGGAGGCCTCCCAGGGAGGAAGGCTGGTCTGAAGGAACAGACAGGAGAGGAGGCTGCAGGGGCAGGAGAGACCTCAGTGGGCGGAGGCAAGCACTGCTTTTCTTTCTGAGCGAGGTAGTGGGTGGGCTGGGACAACCTGGGGAAAACCTTGCATACAAGGCTGAGGAGCTTGCATTTTGCTTGGAGAGTGATGAGGAGGTAATGGACTGGCATGACCAGGCTTAAGCAGGAAATGAATGGGATTGAGGCATGGGACTCAGGCTGACCCAGGCTCCAAGTGCACTAGACTCTGACCCTGGTGGCTCTAAGACTTGGGAAGGTTGCTTATGCTTTTTGAGCCTCTGTTGCCTTATAAGTGAAAGTGAGTGTGTTATAGAACTCAACTAGGTCTAGCTGCCTGGTATAGTAAGACTAGACATCCACGCTGAGGTTTTGCAGCAGGAGAAAAGAAGGTGTTTATTTTCAGGTCACTGAGCAAGGAAATGCTCATGCTGAAATTCTGGCCTCCCGGATGGCTGGCAGGTAAGGGTTTTTAAAGGCAGGGGTAAATTTCAGGAAAGCAGAAGTTACAGCTGAAATCATAAGTGAATACATGGAGGTTTGGTTTTGGTCTAAAAGGGTGGGATATCGTGAGGCGGGGCTTAGAGGTCATAGACAGATTCAAAGTTTTCTGATTTGCAATTGGTTAGGGAAGAGAAGTTTTATTTAAAAATTTGGGACCAGGGGCCAGAGAAGAATGTTAGCTCTGGCTCGTGGGTGTGAATCCCTTCCAGCCACTCAGGAAGAAATTTAGAACTAAGAACAGTAGTCAGTTTGGTCCCCGCTTACCCCCTATCTGAGGTCTGTGTGCTGTTGGATCTGTTTGGTGGGGGTCCAGATGTCTGAAAAACAACTCAGGGACATATGTTAAGATGGTATATCTGTAGTTTCTATAGGGAACCAAACATCTGACCCTAACTTTCTGGGCTGTTGTTTTTAGTTACGATTACCTTCTTGCTTATCAAGTTGTTTGGTTACATCTCAGGACTAGCTAGGTCCCTAAAGTTTCTCTTGAAGGAATTCAAGATTTGCCTTTATTACCATGCTTGGGGAGCCTGCAGGTCCCTATAAAATGGGTCCCTGCTCCATCTCAAGGGTAATAATAGCTAATGCACAGGGTCACTGGAAGATTAAATGGCATGGCATATGAGAAAGCTTTCGGCACAGTGCCTGGCATCTAGTGACCATCAATAAAATAATGTCCCTTGCATTCCCTAGCCATATGACTGGCAGCCAGTAGGCAGGGGGAGGGGCTGAGTGAGGGTCTCTGGACAAAAGCTGGTAGAAGGCTGTCTCTCTAGGCCTGGACAAAGGGCACGTGGGTGGATGGAGGGCTGGAGGCTCTGTGGGGAGGGTCACTGGCACAGCAGATAAATAAATGGATGTGGAGGCCTTGGGCACCCTCTGTATCTGGAAGGAGATGGGGTCACGGGGTGGATTTGAGGTCACCCTGGGAGGGGATGGCATGAGAAGTGGGTCCAGGACAAAATTCTGGAGAACAATGTATTTGAGGAGCTAACTGAAGAGAAGTCAGAAAGGGAAAATAGGGCAAAGCAGGAGGGGCCACATCATGCAAGCTGAGGGCATGGCCGTGGCTGGCAGCGGGCACTGTGGAGCAGTCGGCAGGAGGCTTGCACAACTGGACCAGGCTCCAAAGGTCATGGAGGTCTTTGTGGTCCGGCTGGAAAAGCAAGGGCCCCGAGGGCACTGGGCAGACTGTTGAGAAGATTCAAGGTGTTGGGAGGAGGGCTTAAAAAAATGAAGTGCTGTGTGCAGATTCTATGGCATGGGGAAGGGGCCATTGGCCTGAGGGTGGCTTTGTAGTGGGGAGGGGGAGAGAAGGGAGGCAAGAGGCAAAAGCTGAAGGTTTCATGGGTGGGTCAGGCAGGGAGTTAGTGGGGGCTGCCTGGGGGGTCCCAGTTGTCTCTGAAGGAGGAAAGACTTGAGCTGGAGCTCGACAGAGGGAAAGCATCAAACAGACAGGCCAAAGGGCATTCTGGATTAGGATGAAGAGGAAAAGGAGGGATGAGGTGTGGAGGTGGAAAACTGGCTAGAAAGGGAGGGGCTGAATTGCACAGAGATGGCCTGACAGCACAGGACATGCACAGCGGCGAGTGATAGCGTGTCGATGGCCAGGTCTCATCACTCCTGAAGGGCTGGGGCCCTGTAGGCCAAGAGGTGGCACTGGGTGGGTGGCTTGGCTGCCATGGGAGCAGGGCGGAGCCCCTCCTTGCAGAGAGGAGGCAGGGGCTGAGTCGTTCAAACCTTAAAATATTGTTCAAAGTTCAGAAATGAATGATAGTTTGCTTTTCTCCTTCTCTCCACTCCTGGATTTGTTGTTTGTTTGTTTTTGGTTCCCCCTCTCCCCCGCCACTCCTCCCCACAACCCAAAGTCTCTGGATACTGAGCCAGGGTCTCCATGTTGCAGTTACATCTTGTCGATTTAATTTGACCCCCTTAATAAACAGAGGGTGGGGCAGAGGCTTTGAGGGAAGGATGGAATTAAAACCACATCCTGGAGTAATGAGATCTCCATTTGGCCTCCCTCCCTTCTTTTCCCACTCCCAGGCTCTGCTCCTCTACCCTCCTTTCTTGGAGAGAAGCACAGCTCTGCTTGCCTAATGGAAGTCAGTGGGAAAATTCTGTTCACATTCCATATATAGTCACCACTCAGGATGTGGGGGGATTGGCTCCAGTACCCCTCGCAGATATTTAAATCCACAGATGTTCAAGTTCCTGATATAAAACGGTGTCATGTTTGCACGCAGCCTCCTGTGTACCTTAAATCACACATCCTCTTGTGTACTTTAAATCATCTCTAGATTACTTAGAATACCTAACACAATGTGAATGCTATGCAAATAACTGTTATACTGCATCGTTTACTGAATAATGACAAGGAAAAAAGTCTGTTCATGTTCAGTACAGATGCAATTTTTTTTCCAAATATTTTCAATCCTTGGTTGAATCTATGGACACAGAATCCATGCATATGGGACCTGACTGTATAACCTTGTTGGCATAAACCAGTTCCACAGTCAGAGAGCTTCGAGGAGAAGAATCTGTTTATGAAAGTATTTATAATTGTGTTTGGATGACTGCAGGCTTGCTCTTGGGCAGCGCAGAGCTGGGCTATAAAACAGGGTGGGAAGATTTTCCCATTAATGGAAAACTCCCTGTTTGCCCTGACCCTTGGAGAAGGGAATGGAAGAAAGTTCTGAGTGACGTGGCCTTTGGGAGGCTTCATGATAGGGAAAAGCCAGGGAGCAGGTCTGAGCTGCTGAGAGATGATGTGTACAGGAACTGACTCGTAATAAAATCAAATCTCAATCCTCCAGGGTTGGCATTTACGACTCAAGATTGGCTTCTGAATTCTCATTTGTCTTCCGGGATTCTGCTTCCCTTGGCTCTCTCAAGCCTGCAGGGCTCTATGGCCACTCCCTGCTGGCTTTAGGTGGCTGACCCAGCCCAGGTTTGAGCTGGGATCATTGCCTCAATTTCCTTAAATACCACTGAGTCAAGATTAGGGTACTTAAAATATTGTTCAAGGTTTAGGAATGACAAAGGAGAAATAAACACAGAAAATAGCATGCAACCAGCTCAGGTGCCAGGGACAAGGATGCTGCTTCTTCCCTGAAGAGTCCCCCTCCTGCCCAGGGCTCTCTCCCTGGCTCTGGCCCTTCACAGAGGCACCTTTTTCCACCTCTCCTGTCCCTGGGACATAGCTTTGCCTTGGAGGCCCCAAAGAACAACTTCCTCAGACAACATCAAATAAGCCCATAGAAACGAGAAACACAGTGACACAGCTTGGTTGGCCACTGTAATCCTTCTTTAGCCATTTTCCTGGACTTTGGGGTGTTCACACTCCTTGGCTTCAGTGGCAGCAGAAGGTCATGAGACCATTTGTTAGGACAAGGTCTCCATTGTTGCATCTTGTTTTTTTTATTTTGAGACAGGGTCTCACTCTGTCACCCAGGCTGGAGTATAGTGGCACAATTTCAGTTCACTGCAAACTCTGCCTCCTGGGTTCAAGTGACTCTCCTGTTTCAGCTGCCTGAGTTGTTGCAAATGACAGGATCTCATTCTTGCTTATGGCTGAAGAGTACTCCATTGTGCATATGCACCACATTTTCTTTATCCATTCACCTATTGATAGATGCTGATATGGTTTGGCTGATATGATTCAATTTGGGAATAACTGAATCATCCTTCAGTTATTCCCTACCACAAGAACAGTATGGGGGGGGAAATTCACCCCCCCATACTGTTCTTGTGGTAGGGAATAAGTCTTATGAGATCTGATGGTTTTATAAGAGGAAACCCTTTTGCTTGGCTCTCTCATTCTCTCTTGTCTGCTGCCGTGTAAGACATGCCATTTGCCTTCTGCCATGATTGTGAGGCCTCCCCAGCCACGTGGAACTGTGAGTCTATTAAACCTCTTTTTCTTTATAAATTACCCAGTCGCAGGTATGTCTTTATCAGCAGCATGAAAACGGACTAATACAGACACTTAGGTGCTTCCAAATCTTGGCTACATGAATAATGCTGCAGTAAACATGGGAGTGCAGGTATCTCTTCAATACACTGATTTCTTTTCTTTTAGGCATATACCAGGAATGGGATTGCTGGATTCATATGGTAGCTCTATTTTTAGTTTTTTGAGGAACCTCCAAACTGTTCCCCATAGTGGTTATACTAATTCACATTCCTACCAGCAGTGTACAAGGGTTCCCTTTTCTTCACAGCCTTGCCAGTCATTTGTTATTGCTTGTCTTTTGGATAAAAGCCATTTTAACATGGGTGAGTTGCTATCTCATTGTAGATTTGATTTGCATTTCTCTGATGATCAGGGATGTTGAGCACCTTTTCGTATGCCTGTTTGCCATTTGCATGTCTTCTTTTGTGAAATGTCTGTTC